ATTCCTGCAAAGATCTGTCCTCGTCCTTCCAACTCTATAAAGTCCTGCACAGTGCACTAACTTGCTTTTGCTGGTTTAATCCAGGGATCGTGGGCAGCGATTACATCAACGCCAACTACATCGACGGCTATCGGAAGCAGAACGCCTACATCGCCACGCAGGGGCCGCTGCCGGAGACCTTCGGAGACTTCTGGAGGATGGTGTGGGAGCAGCGTTCAGCTACCATTGTCATGATGACTAAGCTGGAGGAGAAATCACGGGTGAGATGCACGAGAGGGATGACTCGTTAGTCCTAATCCTGGGGGAGCGGGGGGGAGGGTTGGGGAACAGCAGATCCCTTTGATCCGCGCCCACGGCTCTGCCGGCAGCACCCTGATCGTTCAGTGATTCAGTGCTTTTAAAAAACCAAACCATTCGCCCCAGAAAGCTGCAGCCTCCAGCCTCCATTGCAGCTCCAGGAGACGAGGACGCTCAGTCCCACTGCATGCTTTGTGGGTCTGTCTCGGAGTTAATCGCGGGGCAGGTTTCACGTTCTGTTCTCTTGTTTAACAAGCCCCAGTACATCCCCTCTCATCCCAGTCTATTGTCCAGATGATTGATGTGATGCATCGAAGCCTGTGCTCGGTCAGGAGGAGCTTTCCAGGCCGGCTCTGTCCCTGTTGTGCTGCTCAAGAAAAATATTTCTTGCACCTTCCCTCCCCTTCCCGACCTGCCCAGCTTCACCTGTAGCGTCAGTTCTGGAACGAGCTTCCCCTGCAGCACGGGGTTTGTTCCAGCGATGCCGCCTGTCTTCCAGATAAAGTGTGACCAGTACTGGCCGGGCCGAGGGACAGACACCTACGGGATGATCCAGGTGACGTTACTCGATACCATCGAACTGGCCACGTTCTGCGTCCGCACCTTCTCCCTTCACAAGGTGGGCTTTCCCCTGCTCCTGGTTTTTCCCCAGAGACGGGCTGCGGCACGCTCTCCGTACGCAGCACGGGCGGTGCGCTGGTACCAGCGTCACTCTCGCTGCTCTTGTGTCTTTGCAGAATGGCTCCAGTGAGAAGCGGGAGGTCCGCCAGTTCCAGTTCACCGCGTGGCCTGACCACGGCGTCCCCGAGTACCCCACCCCCTTCCTGGCTTTTCTGAGACGGGTGAAAACCTGCAACCCCCCTGATGCCGGTCCGATCGTGGTTCACTGCAGGTACCCAGCTCCTTCACCTCGATCTTGCACGGGGCCGCAGGCGGCAGCAGGTCCGCAGGATGGAGATTTGCACCTGGGAGACGTGCACAGTCTCCAAGCGAGGACCGGCAGCGAGCGCTCCCCTGTAAAGTCTTCTCCCAGACACCACCTGAGGAGGAGACTCGGGGTTTTCGTGGAGCGCAGAATTTCCTGAGATGATGAGGGGTTTGTTTGCACCACATCGCTCAGAGCTTGTCAGCCACGGGAAGCGCTGTGCTGGTGTCTGGCTCTGGGTGTAGGCTTGTTCCTTGTCCCGGGAGGAAGAGCCGGTGCGACTGGGAGGCTGCACGGGGGTTTGGGAGAGCTGCTGTCCCTCCGTTGGCAAAGGCAGAGCTGCCAGGGATGGAAAGAGGGGTCACAGCCATTCTGTGACAAACTAAGGCCCCTGTGGGCAGGGAGCGTTCCCTAATTCAATTTACAACCCGACGAGGAACGTTTGCGTAAACCCCTGTGTTCCTCAGGAGGGCGAGGAGGAGCCTGCAGGTTACTCAGCACCGCGGAAAGGCATCGGAATTTCACGGGCTGCTGGGGGAAGCTAATCCTGCCTCCACTTAGTCTTTGTGAGTGGGCAACTTACCGCTCACCCTGCAGAGACGGCAGGTGCCGTGCACCTCTCGGAAAAGGAATCGAGAGCTGTCAGCTCCCAGCGCGCGGGAACCAGCTCCCGGCTCGGCTGCTAAATTTTTTGCCAAAGCGTCAGTCACCTGCTCGGTTCAGGTGTTAGGCAGTCTAATTAACAGAGATCAAGGGGGCTTTGTGAAAAAAGGGACTGCACTGGCAGGGTAAAAGGAAAACCTTTATTAGCAGCAGCAAACGCAGAGACCCAGAGCGCCCTGCTGATTCACAGATGCCATCACACGGATGTTTGATGTTACCTTGATGCACAAAAACATTTCGGAAAAAAGGTGATGCATGTTAGTCATTACAACATCAGTGGTTTCTCAGCTGCTGAAAGATCTTGGTGATTAAACATGCTTTATAAGCCCTTAGATCGTGCCAGCCTTTTGTTCAAGCCTCGAGCCCCCTGCCTGGGGTTGTTGTAATTGTGTGTCTGCCAGGAGAGCGCTGTCCCGGGCACGGCAGGGATGGCGAGGCAGGAGAAACGGGGCAGAGCAGGACGGTGGGGCAGCAGGCACGGCCCCAGAGACACATTTTCATCTTCTCTCCTGTCCTCGCGTGACATAATCATAGAGTGGTTAGGCTGGAAGGGACCTTAAAGATCGTCTGGTTCCAGCTAAGACCAGACTGGGCTGTGGAAGCTTCTGCTGAACTGAGCTGAGACTTGAATGCAAACTCTTGGGGTCTAAGCCCGAGTACTTGGGCACACAGAGCGGCACAGGGGACGAGGGGACCTTTGGGACCTTTCCCTCCGCTGGCTCGGATCCAGCCCCCACCAGCCTCTCCCTGCTGCTGTGGCAGCACCGGCCCAGGTGCAGCTCAGGAAAACAGCCTGTTGGGTTCTAGGGCAGGCTTTACCGGACCCGGTGCAGGCTTTACCGGACCCAGTGCAGCACTGTGCTCGTGCACCAGAGCACCAGTGACATTGGTGTCACCAGTGTCCTCCTCTGCATGCCGTACATCTATCCCAGACCCCCCAGCACAGCCAGGAGCACCAGGCTGAGGTGTGGGCAGCAGCGCTCACCAGCACCAGTGCCTACGGCAAGTTCCTTTCATACAACAAGATTCATGGCTGGACCCAAGATTTCCTTTGCCTCAGTCCATCCGTCGCTGTGGTCACAAGGATTTGAGTCCTTCCTCTCTCTCTGCCTCACACATCTGTTTCTACCTCGTGTTTCCTGCCGTTGGTGGCAGTGGCAATGTCCTTGTTCACAGGTGGCCCTTTGCAATATCTCTGTTCAGTGGCACAACAGTCCCTCACTTCTTTTTTTTTTTTTTTTTCTCTTTCCAGTGCGGGCGTTGGACGGACCGGCTGCTTCATCGTGATCGATGCCATGCTGGAGAGGATAAAACACGAGAAGACAGTGGACATTTACGGGCACGTCACCCTCATGAGGTCACAGCGCAACTACATGGTGCAGACAGAGGACCAGTACAGCTTTATCCACGATGCCTTGCTCGAGGCCGTTGCTTGCGGGAACACCGAGGTCCCAGCCAGGAACCTCTACACCTACATCCAGAAACTGGCGCAGATTGAGGTCGGGGAGCACGTGACGGGCATGGAGCTGGAGTTCAAGGTAACGGGCGATGCTTGAGTGGGGACAGGAGCCACTGGGAAGGCTCCCGGGAGCTTTGTCCTGGTGGCACACGCGCGTAGCAGACAGGGAGCCTTTATACGGCTGATGGGAACTTTTTGGTTCCACGTTAGAGGAGTAATTACTTTTCTGCCGTCTGCTACTGCAGCTCCCAGGGGAGAGAACTGCCTGCCGCTGTGGGAGGCTTGGCTGGCCATTGCAAATCCAGATTGAATTTGCTCACTCCTTAGATAGGGTTTTTAAGCTTGCCTTTTTTTTTTTCTTTGAAAGTTTTGTTGAGGGGAAAGTCTCAGACTCTGTTCCCACCCCAAAAAATAAAAGAAGGGCACACAAGGCAGAACAATGTGGTGGAACATGGAGAGCAGGTTAAGGGGGCTGGCATAGGGCTCAACGAAAAAAAAGCTGAACAAATGGTTGTGTCTCTGCTTTTGCCTTCAGCGACTCGCCAACTCCAAAGCCCACACCTCCAGGTTCATCAGTGCCAACCTCCCGTGCAACAAGTTCAAGAATCGCCTTGTCAACATCATGCCCTACGAGACCACGCGGGTCTGCCTGCAGCCCATCCGAGGAGTGGAGGGGTCGGACTACATCAACGCCAGCTTCATCGACGGCTACAGGTAACGCGCGCCGCGCCGCCCGCCGCACTCGGGGGGTCTGTGGGCGAGTCGGAGGATGCAGAAGTGCTCTGGGATAGACACGGTCTCACCAGGGCCAGGCTGCTGCTCTGTCTCATCACCTAGAGCAGCCGCACGCTGTGGGGCAGTGCTGGAGGTACGTTCCCTCTTGTTCACGGCCAGCAACCCGCGCACAGACCCAGCCGCAGCCTCTAATAAGCTTTATTCTCTTTGGGCTTAACATTCCTTACCCCTAAGGCAAACCAACCCCTTCCCCAGCTGCTGCTCCTAAACATAGAGTGGCAGTGAGGGGTGGATTTTGCTGTTGGGAGGTTTCTAAAAACAGATTAGCCTTTTTTTTTATTGCTTTTGTGATCTGGGGACGTTGCAGTTCTGACAGCTTCCCACGGGCGATACACGCCACGTGCTCCAGCACCAGGAGCTGCAGCCCTACCCGG